GAAAGAGAGGTGCCAAAGGAAGAGATAGATTGGAATGATGAAGACTTGGAGAAGATCATGATCAACAACAAAGCAATCAACATGCTTCAATGTGCTCTCAATCCAACGAAATTCCATAGAGTTTCCGAGTGTGATACGGCTAAGGAGATGTGGGACATGCTAGAAGTCACTCATGAAGGAACAAGCCAAGTAAAGGAGTCAAAAATCAATGGACTCATTGATGAGCTCAATTTATATACATATTCATAGGGAATTTTTACTTTGATATTATTGATATTTGGATGAGTTTTATGGAATTTTGTTTGATTTTACATGATTTTCATTCTTTGTGTAGAAAAGGATTTAATTGGAAGAAATCTTACTTTTTAGAAGTAAATTGAAGAGATCAGAGACTTGAGGATTAACTTGTGCAGAATCCAGAAGTCAGGAACCAGATCTGCCATTTTACCATTGAAGAAATTGCAAAAGGAGGCCAAAAACCCGACACGGGTGTAGTGTCGACACATTATCGGGGTGTCGACACCATGCGCTAAACGTCCTGAATCAGATTCTGTTTCCTATTTTGTGTCAACATGTAATCCGAAGTGTCAGCCTCATAATTGTAATTTTAGATTTTATTATTTTTATTATGAACTGATTTATTCTATTAAGGCTACGATGTAGCCTAATCAATTTAATATAGGTTTTGTGATTTTATATTTTCAATTAAAGTTATTTGCATGAGGAGTTTATATTATTGAACTTAATGCATTGAAAGTCTGATCACCTTTCGATTGATTTAGTGATTTATGCATGAACTTGAGAAAGAATTGCGTAGATTAGACCAATAATAATATAAACCGTGTGCTAGACTATGAGACCGAGAGGTAATTAGCTCACATGTGGTAGTGGAGGAAGAGAAGAGAGTTAGGAGCTCCCCCTTCTTAAATTAGAGGTTTTCATAGAATTTAATGCTCATTAGTTTGTTTAAAATTACATAGAGATATGATTAATTTAACAAACCAGTGAAGGATTAACTTGATTTGAGAAAGCTAGTTAATTAATTTAGGGAAATCCGCCATCACATGCAATAACACTCAACAATTTGGTAATCCAGAATTTATATTGATTGATTATGGTGAAGTCAATGCCTTAGTATTTCATATATTGGTTAGTTTTATTTTAATTGTTAGTTTCTTTTTGTATTTTAATTAAAATTCCATCTTTTCGATTGTTCAAATAAATTTGGATTAATTATTTTGGTACTTAGTTAGACACAATCCTCGTGGATTCGACACTCTTCTCATCATTATATTACTTGGAACGACTAGTACACTTGCTAAGGTGATTTTAGTGCATCACTCATTTACATGTATGAGCTTTTCAAGATGAAACCGGAGGAGAGCATTCAAGATATGTATACAAGATTGAATGATATAGTCACCAATCTAAAGGCTCTTGGTAAAGTCTATCCTCCTCAAGAAGTGGTGAGAAAGGTTCTTAGAAGCTTGCCTAAGAGTTGGGAAGCCAAGAAGACGGCAATTGAAGAATCTAAGGATCTCAACACTCTCAAGCTTGAAGATCTTATTGGTAAATTGATGACATATGAGATAGAAGTGCAAGGTGAAGGTGGAGTTGAAATAGTTGAGAAGAAGAAGAAGGATGTTGCATTCAAAGTTAGCAACCAAAAGAGTGAAGATGAAGCTAGTGATGGTGAAAACTTCTCCTCCTTAATCTCTAGAGAAGTGAGGAGATTTATGAAGAAGAATATCAAGAGCAAGCTTGCAAGAAGAGATGAAGGAGAATCTACCAAAAAGAGTGTGAAATGCTATGAGTGCAACAAGATGGGGCACTATAGAAATGAATGCCCCAAATTGAAGAAAGGTGAGAAGAAAGACAAGAAGAGCATAAGAAGAAAGCATTTGCCGCCACTTGGAGCGATGATGAAACTAGCTCAACGGAAAGTGAAAGCTCCTTGGAGAAAGGTGTTGCAAATCTTTGCTTCATGGCTCAAGAGGATAGCAACAATGATGAGGAGGTAAACTCTAACTTTTCTAGTTCAATTAATGAAAGTTCCTTTGAGTATTCTTATGATGATTTATGCAAAATTCTTGATTGCTCTATGAATGATATTAAGAGACTAGGGAATGAGAATCTTGCTCTTACTAAAACTATTTCATTACTTAAAAATGAGATTGAATCTCTTTCAAAACAAAATGAAGTTTTAGTTAAAGAAAATGCTTCTTTAAATAGTGAGATTGCTTCTTTAAAGAATGAGGAAGTTAATGATGCTTTGGAAAAGGAAAATAAGGATTTAAAGAAGGAAAATGAGAATTTAAGGAAGGAAAATGAGGATTTAAAGAGAAAAACTTATGATCTTGAGAATGTGATTTCCAAATTTACTTTGAGTAAAGAAAAATTTGATTCTATTTTAAAATCTCAAAGAAGTGTTTATGACAAAGGGGGCATTGGATTTGATTATTCTAAAAAGCAAAAGACTTTTAAGACTACCTTTGTAAGAGCAAGTCAATCCTATCATCCTAGTGTTATTTGCTATTGTTGTGGTGCAAATGGACACTTTGCTTATGCTTGTCCTTTAAAAAGATTAATAGCTCAAGGTAAAGTGAAACAAATTTGGGTTCCAAAAGGAACCATAAAAACTAACCCCCAAGGACCCAAACAAATTTGGGTACCTAAGATCAAAAATTGATTTTTGTTGTGTAGGTGTGCGTAGTGAGCAAAATGAAGAATAAATGGTATCTAGATAGTGGATGCTCAAGGCACATGACGGGTGATCCTTCACAATTCTCATCACTCATGCCCTTGGATGGTGGAACCGTGACCTTTGGTGACAATGGGAAAGGAATTGTGAAAGGAATTGGTAAAATTGGTAACAAATCTATTTCTTTTGATGATGTTTGGTATGTGGATGAATTGAAGCATAACTTGCTTAGTATTAGTCAATTATGTGATCGCATGCTTAATGTTGTATTTTTCAAGTCACATTGCAAGATTATTGATTCTAGAAATGATCAAGTGTTGTTTGTTGGCAAGAGACTTAAAAATGTGTATGTGATTGATTTGCATGACATTGATGCTAATATTTGTCTTCCCTCTATATCTCATGATGATACTTGGTTGTGGCATAGAAGATTAGGACATGCTAGCATGAATGTTATCTCTAAGTTATTAAAGCATGATCTTGTTGATGGCTTGCCTAAGGTGAATGTAAACATTGATAGTGTATGTGATGTATGCATGAAGGGTAAGCAAACTAGAGTTTCCTTTAAGACTAAGAAGTGCATCTCTACAAATAGACCTCTTGAGTTACTTCATATGGATTTGTTTGGACCTATGCGCACTCTAAGCATTGGAGGAAAATCAAATGTGCTTGTTGTAGTTGATGACTACTCTAGATTTACATGGGTTGCTTTTCTTGCACATAAAAATGATGCACTTGATGCTTTCAAATGTCTTTATAAAAAGCTTCAAAATGAGAAAAGTTTATCTATTGTTTCTATTATAAGTGATCATGGGGGAGAATTTGAAAATAATGACTTTGAAGATTTTTGCATTGAACATGGTATTGATCATAATTTTTCAGCCCCTAGAACTCCTCAACAAAATGGGGTGGTTGAACGGAAAAATCGGACTATTGAGGAAATGGCAAGGACTATGATTTGTGAGAATGATTTGCCAAAATCCTTTTGGGCCGAAGTCGTTGCAACCTCTTGTTATTTGTTGAATAGAGTTATGGTGAGGCCTATTCTTAATAAAACCCCCTATGAAATTTACAAAGGAAGAAAACCTAAGATTTCCTACTTTAGAGCTTTTGGTTGTAAATGCTTTGTCTTGAACAATGGAAAGGATTCTCTTGGAAAATTTGATTCTAAAAGTGATGAAGGCATCTTTGTTGGATACTCTACTTCTAGTAAAGCTTACCGTGTGTATAATAAAC